CAATAGGAATGCCGGGGCCAGGGCCAGCTGTGCCGGCCTCACTGCTGATGCCAAATATTTGAGAGAAGGGAATTTTTGCTGAGGTTTTCCTCAGTGATATTTTGATGCTTTATAGGAAACTATTTTTTAACAAAGCCATTTTTTTCTTCCCGCCCCAAGACACACTGGTTGTGTTTTCCTCAACTCAAAACAGGGCAAGGAATGTAGGTGAGAGGTTGAATAGGCTGGGCTCTGCAGTCCTCCTCCTGGGCCAGGCTCATTCCTCTCTGCCTCATTCGCATGGCCCCTTGTCTGTCTGTGTCTGCCTGCCTGCCTGCCCATCCCTCCCCCTGCACCTTCTGCAGCCCGCTCCAGCCCCTGGGGGCTGAGGCCATCCTCGCCTGTCTCTTACTTCCCACATCAAGAATGCCCTTTGCATATCATCCCAATCAGAGGGCGTCCTGGAGGAGTGGGGCTGGGGGCGAAGCAGCCTTAGACCTTAGAATCTGGAGGACTCAAGAAGCGTCACCAAGTCAGTCTAGCGCCCTTGAGTGATGGAGCAGGAAGGGACCTGTCCGAAGTCATGGTCAAAAATTAAGGTTGGGGCAAATCAGGACCAGAACCCTGCCCTCAGCACGCCGCACTGCCACTCCCAGGAACAGGAGTCCATTACACACAGGTCATGTCGGAGGTGGGCACCTGGCTCCCTGACCAGCAGTCACTCTGGGGGGCCACCAGCTGGGAGAAGCACCTCTGCCCAAGTCTGTGCCTTAGGATGACCCACACCCCACCTACGTGTGGGGGCCCCTGCTCAAGGAGGTGGGGCCCTCACTGACCTTGCCCTGGTCTGGGAACATGGGAGAGGCTACAGGGGCCTCACCTCTTTCTGCCACTTCCCCAACACCCCAGAGGGTTGTGGAATTGGGGGATTGCCTCACTGCCTCTATAGGCTCTTAGGGCTCTTAGCCCACTGCTGACACTTCTGCAATCCAGAGAAACACTAAATAAAGCAATACATGTTTGCCAATGTGGTCAGACTCTGAATATGAGGAAGGAGGAGGGTCCCTAGGAGGCAGTATGGGGCCTGACCGCACAGTGTTCCCCCTCTTTCCAGGCAGGCCTCCCTGCCTTGTGGGCAGAGGGGAAAGCAGGAAGGGCCTCAGCTTCACTTTCACTGGCTGACCACCCACTCACCCCCAATACTCCAGAGGGGTGGGTACTCAGCCAGAGGAGGCACCCCACATATTTCTGCCTTGCAGTCCTGGGCCCAGGTTGGGGTGCCAAAGGTGACATTTGTGATAGGTCTTCAGAATTCACATCCTGGTCTGGATTTTCCTGCAGTGACCCGCTGCACAGTGGTGAGGATAGGAAAGGGCATTTAGGAGCCTTCGTGGCTCAGCAGGCAGCTGTTCACCATCCCAGCTCAGCCCTCACCTGTGGCGGCTTCTCTCCAAAACAGGTTCTTCCCTTTGTTAGCTGGCAGCCCCAGCCACTGTCAGTGCCAAGTCCACATTCTTGACAGTGACCCCACGCTTTGAAATTTTCCGAGCAGATCCTCCATGGCCCAGCGTGGAGGAAGTGCTGTGTTCCAGGTTGTGCCACTGTAAATGAGGAAGGTCTTCTGATGGGTCGGGCCGGGGCTATTGGACCTGTGCACTGGAGCCTCAGGAACTGCACTCAGCCCAGGCTCAAGGGTTCTTTCCTGCAAAAGAAATGCAGAGGGACCTAGCACAAAGGCTCAGTGGCTAAATCCTCCTTTGTGTGCCAGGATCCCATATGGACACCTTTTGTGTCCCAGCTGCTTCACTTCCCATCCAGTTCCCTGCTTGTGGCCTGGGAAAGCAGTAGAGGCCTTGGGACCCTGCACTTGTCTGAGAGACCTGGAAAAAGCTCCTGTCACCTGGCTTCACATCAGCTCTGGCTTTTGTGGCCACTTGGGGAATAGACCAATGGACAGAAAACCTGTCCTTCTCTCTCTAAATCTGCCTTTCCAATAAAAATAAATCTTTTAAAAAAAAGTTTAAAAGGAAGGCAGGACGTGTTTTTGATTATTATTATTTCTAATTTGAAAGGCAAGCAAAGAGCTAAGTGATTCATTTCCTAAAATGCCTACAAATAGTTGGGGCTGGGGTGGGCCAGATCAAAGGCAAGAGCAAGAACTTCACTCTGAGTCTCCCGCATCAGCTGCCTCCAACTGAGCGAGTTAGCAGGAGGCTGAATCAGGAGTCAGGGTTTGCGGGGATGCCAGACTCACCCACCACACCTCTGGACCAAGCCCCAGCCTAGAAAACCAGAGTGGTGGCCTAGCTGCTAAAGTCTTCGCCTTGAAAGCACCAGGATCCCATACAGACACCAGTTCTAATCCTGGCAGCCCCACTTCCCATCCAGCTCCCTGCTTGTGGCCTGGGAAAGCAGTCCAGGACGGCCCAAAGCCTTGGGACCCTGCACCCGCATGGGAGACCTGGAAGAAGCTCTTGGCTCCTGGCTTTGGATTGGCCCAGCTTCAGTCATGTGGCCACTTGGGGAATGAACTATCAGATGGATCTTCCTCTCTGTCTCTCCTCCTCTCTGTATATCTGACTTCGCAATCAAAATTAAAATATTCTTAAAAAAAAAAAAGAGTGGTCCTCAGAATAAAAGGGGCTACTACTGACAGCCACCATGGAACCCTGTGGCAGACAGCTCAGAGGGAGGTGAATTGTGGGTGGATGGAACAGTACCTGCAAGTTTAAAGGCAAGACAAGGTTCAGAGTGAGGTCAGGCTATGTCTGAGACAAGCACACGTTCTCAAAGAATAAGACAAGGCGCAATGTCTGGCTACCTTGGGCTTGAGGCCAGGTTGAGCGCACGCCCTAATTCTGATAACTCATTTAGAATCAACTTACAGAAAAGTGAAAGCTTCACACTCTTTTTTCCCCCACCCTAATGATAGCAACAGTGGCTCCAGGAAATGGGGAGATAAGATAGGCACTGAGTTAGGTGCAATTACCAGCTTTATAACCTGACCAACACTGCTTTCTGCAGTGAAGGATGTGTGGGAGAGCTTGGTCATGGGTGGACCTCAGCCAAGGACACTCTGACCACTCTGTCAAGAAAAGGTCTGCATCTTCAGCTTCTATGCGGTAAACCCAAGCCCTTCAGGGGAGATGACCAGTTGCCGACAGTCGACTTCGGGTACGGAGGAGTGATTCCTCTGGGCCTTCTATTCATGTATCCATTCACAGTTTCAGTACTGTAGTACCAGGCTCTGTGCTAGGTACTTGGGATATGTCAGAAACAGGAAAAAAAAAAAAAAAGCAACAACAAAGACTTCGTTATCATGGAGCTTACACCTTACAGGAGAAGAGAGCACATTAAATCAGTCAGTAAAAGATATAATATGCAAATAGCAAAAGGAAATACAGGAACCATGGTTATGGCCCAATGCATTGAGGTGCTACTTGCAATGCCAGCATCCCCTGTGAGCACCATTTCAAGTTCTGGCTGCTCTGATTCTGATCCAGATCTCTGGGGATGCTTCTGCGAAGCAGCAGAAGATGGCCCAACTGCTTGGATCCCTGCCTTCCACTTGGGAGACCCCATGGAATTCCTAATTCCCAACATCAGCCTAACCAGTACTCTGAATGTAGTGGCCATTTGGTGAGTGAAATGTGGGTGGAAAATCTCTTTCTCTGTAAATGTGATTTTTTTTTCAATAAAAATACAAAATCTTATTGAAAAAAAAAAAAAAACTTTCCCCCATATCCATGTGCCTTAGGGAAGCACATGGAGCTTGCCACCCACAGGCAGTGTGTGGGAGTGGGTGAGGGCCTACAGCCAAGCCTAGTCATCCTGGTTAAGGGAGAGCAGGTCTCCCTGGGATGGTTTCTGCTGCTGGTGCCCGTGACACGCTGTGACTAAGCGACCAGGGTCACTATGAGTCATCCCAGCAGGGAGGGCACCTTGTCCCCCTCCTCCCAGAGCAGGCCTGGGGTGGGTGAGGTGGTTCCTGTGTTAGTCACTAAACCCTAGCACGGGACTGATTGCCCTTGGAAAGTAGTCTGCTAAGGGCCGACCTTGTGGCTGTGGTGTAGCAAGTAAAGCCACCACTTAGGTGATACTGGCAATCCAAATGAGTGCCAGTTTGAATCCTGGCTGCTCCACTTCCCATCCAGCTCCCTGCTAATACTGCACCTGGGAAAGCAACAGAAGAAGCTCTAAGTGTTTGGGCCCCTGCAACTGCACTGGAGACCTGGAAGAAATTTCTGGGTCCTGCCTTTCAAATAAACAAATGACTTAACATTTTTAAAAGATTTATTTTTATTGGAAAGTCACAATTACAGACAGGAGGAGAGACAGAAAGGAAGATCTTCCATTCACTGGTTCATCCCCAAGTGGCTGCAATGGCTGGAGCTGAGCCGATCCAAAGCCAGGAGCTTCTTCCAGGTCTCCCACACGGGTGCAGGGTCCCAAGGTTTGGGCCATCCTGGACTCCTTTCCCAGGCCACAAGCAGGGAGCTGGATGGGAAGTAGAACAGCCAAGACAAACTGGCACCTATATGAAATCGCAGTGCATGCAAAGCGAGGACTGTAGCTACTAGGCTACTGTGTCGGGCTGATGACTTTTTTTTTTTTTAAGACTTATTTGTTTTGATTGGAAAGTCAGATATACAGAGATGAGGAGAAATAGAGAGAAAGATCTTCCATTCGATGATTCACTCCCCAAGTGACTATGATGGCTGGCACTCCCCTCATCCGACACCAGGAGCCAGGAACCTCTTTTGGGTCTCCCATGCAGATACAGGGTCCCAAGGCTTAGAGCCATCACTTGACTGCTTTCTCAGGCCACAAGTAGGGAATTGGGAAGCAGGCTGCTGGGATTAGAACCAGTATCCATATGGGATCCTGGTGCGTGCAATGCAAGGACTTTGGCCCTAGGCTACCATGATGGGCCCTTAATTTTTTTTTTATTGAAAATTTTTATTTGAAAGACAGAGAGTGAGGGTGGGGCTGGGGAGAGAGAGAGCAAGCTATATATATATATATGTATGTATGTATTTGTTAAATATGGAATGCTTCAAGCACAGGGGCCATGCTAATCTGTGTATCATTCCAATTTTAGTATATGTGCTACCAAAGCGAGCACGCAATATATATTTTTAGAGACTTATTTATTTTTATTGGGAAGGCAGATGTATGAAGAAAAGGAGAGACAAAGAGAAAGATCTTGTATCCACTGGTTCGCTCCCCAAGTGGCCACAGGAGCCAGGAGCTTCTTCCGGATCTTCCACTGGAGTGTCATTTCCCAAGGCATCTGGCAGGCAGCAATCCCCCAGCTACGTGGGCTGTTATCCTAGCACACTGCCAGCATCTCCTAGGCTAGACGCTTGATCCTTGCAGAACCCTGGTACAGGACCATGGGATGGGTAGGTTCATACAGAGAAAGAGCAGTACAATGGATAATTAGCGGCAAGGAGATCATGACACGGTGTGGTCCATGAAGAGAGGCCATGAGGGACCACGTTGCAGGTCTCTCAACTGGGAGTTTTCACACCTGGAGATGACTAGGCAGTCTGTGGAGGACAGCTATAGCCAGCTCCCACAGGAAGCTGTGGGCAGTGCAGTTAGGGTTAGCCAGAGTGAGGAGTGCTGCCCAGCCGGCTGGTCACTGCACATAGCTAAGAGACGGTTACACAGGCAGTGAGAACATGGGCTCTCTAGGCCATGCAGATGGGATGGAACTACCTGGCAGGGGACCTAAGAATCAACACTTCTGTATAATTTATCACAAAGACAAAAGGAGACAACCACAGAAATTTCCCATTGATTATTTCACACAGCTGGGCCTGGGCCAGGCCAAAGTGAGGAGCCCACAACTCAACTTGGGTTTCTAATGTGGGTAGCGAGGACTCATGTCCTTGAACCTTGGTCGGTCAGCTTTCTCCCAAGGAGCTGGAGTCGGAGCTGGGACTTGAACCCTGGTATTCTGATGTGGGAGGTGGGCACCTTAATTCCTGTCCCAAACTCCCACCAGGCTTGGCAGCCTCTGGACGCTGGTTATGGAGTCCAGGTCACCTGTTCCGGGAAGCCCTCCTGGCTGGACTAGGAGGCTGCGCTGGTCCAGTTTCCCGACACAGCACCCGTCATGTCTTTGTCATCGACTGTTTCCTGGTTCCGCCTGCTGGTCTATGAATTTTGTGAGTGAGGCCCCACCTGGTCACCTTTGTACCCACAGGACACTGTGGTGTCCATAACTTTGTAGAATGAATCAATCAATGAAAACTTCAGCGGGCCTGTGGGGCAACTGGAGGAACTAGCAGAAAAAGACTAGCATGTTAGGGAGTCTCGCCGCGAGCTCAGGCCCTTGGGACCACGTCCTTCTTGTCCACTCCACTTCTGTCCACAAACGGGCCTTGCAGCAACTTGAAGCCTGCCACTGAGGACGCCAGGGTCAACCGCGCAAACTCAAATCTTTGAGGTCCTGCCGGCTGAAGCCACGCCCCTCAGCCTTAGACTCCGCCCCTTCCAACCTCTGCATTCGGGGTCGGGGCCAGGCGGCGACGCCCCTGAGGCCGCATGCGCAGTGCGCACGCGTGGGCTCCCTTTGCCCTTCTCCCAATGGCGGGCGGCTGTCGCCTTCCCGGCAGCCTCCCTCGGGCAGGGAGCGCGTCATTTCCGGTGGGGAAGGCCCGCGGCCGCCGCCGCCATTTCGGGCAGTGCTGTGAGGCTGAGACCCTCGCCGGTCCGCTGGGCGGCGGGGCGCCGGAGCTGGAGGGGCGCGCACGGCGGCGGCGGCGGCGGCGGCGGCCATGGCAGGCAACTTCGACTCGGAGGAGCGGAGCAGCTGGTACTGGGGCCGGCTGAGCCGGCAGGAGGCGGTGGCGCTGCTGCAGGGCCAGCGGCACGGGGTGTTCCTGGTGCGGGACTCGAGCACCAGCCCCGGGGACTATGTGCTGAGCGTCTCCGAGAACTCGCGCGTCTCGCACTACATCATCAACAGCAGCGGCCCGCGCCCGCCGCTGACACCGTCGCCCGCCCAGCCTCCGCCCGGTGAGGGACCGCGGGGACGGTAGAGGCCGGGCGGGCGGGGACGGAGGGCCGCGGGAGCGCCCGGAGGGCCGGCTGCGCGGGGCGCGCTGACCACTTCCCTCCGACACGCACACGCCTTCGCGAGGGCTGTGGGCAGCGCTGACCACCCTGCGGGCGGCCTCTGGGTGTGCCGTGGGAGGACAGCCCTGGGGGAAGGGGAACTGCCTGGGCCCCAGGGTGGGGCCAGCGCCCGGGCCAGGCGCAAGGGCAGGGCAGGGACAAAGAACTGAGGGGGGGATGTTGGCACTGCGGGGGCATCACTGGGCAGCGGTGCCCGGAACGAATCCGATAATCCTACAAGTGGCTTTTCAGCTTGAAACGTTTCCTGCAGTGCTGCAGCACAGGGTTTGGCCGAACTCCCCTGGTGGCCTTCGTTAGGAAGTCACTCGGCACACGGGCGGGGAGGGATGGAGCTCCCTCAGGAAACCGGTCAGCTTTTTCCTTTCTTGGGCATTTTTCCAAAACCCTTGCACCGGCTTCTTCCCCGGTGGAGGACGGAGGTGGCGAAGTAATTGCCTCCAGGAGTGAACCAAACCTTCCGGGTCCAGCCCAGAAGTCCGTCGCTAGCCAACTGTGACCGGGAGGTCTTAGTGTGTGGGAGACTTCTCCGCAGTTAGGAGCTTCTCGTTTTCAAAGTGTTTAGCAGAGAAGTTTTTTTTTTTTTCTTTTTTTTCTTTTTAACCTGTTAAAGAGCAAACCAGAAATAAGCAGTAGAGATGAGGCGAATGGACCATGACGGTTCCTTGGACTTAAAACGTTACCAGTTGTGGGCTGAAGAACCTCCACCTGCTCGGTGGGTTGAGACAGCGTCCCCGAATCTACTGGGTATTGGGGAGGTGGGGCAGGTCCATTAAAGGAGCATTGAGCTGTAACTGTCTTTGTTAACACCATTGGAATTGCTTCTGGAATGCTAAGAAGATACATGCACTTAAACTTGTGGTCTGTGAGGTGAGGTGGAATCCCCAGGCTCCCGTATGTGTGACAGCATCAGGGGTGCACTGTCATCCTCCTGCCCCAAGGCTGCTGCAGTTCACCTGGGCCAGACTCCAGAGCCAGCCTTTGCAGCCTTGCCATTTTGGGCCATCCTAATTTAGATCCACTCACTCTGACCAGAAGTGCGGAGATGGATAGGCAATCTTTCTCTTGTTGCCATCTACCAATTCAAAAGAACAAATGTGGGTCTTCAAGGTCACAAAACATCCTTTCTCCATCTGGCAATTTAGTAACATTATATTAGTAACATCATAATAGAAGGTCACCCAGGAATGTGGATGTAGCCTCTGCACCCTGTGGTAGGCTTGGATGCTGCCGGCCTGGTCCTCTGGGTTGTACACTTTCCGTGCAGTTGTGTAGTGATGGCAGACTGTCTGTGAAGTTCACTTCTCCTTGAGTTTCTGTACACATTCTGCTGACTGCAGAATTTGCAGTCAGCAAAAGGCAGGTTTGTTACCTTGATATTTCACATCGTGGCATGATAGTTTTATATTTACCTCTTTGAGTGCCACCTTTTCAAAACAGATAAAAGTTGGGCCAGGAGAGAAGGAAAAGACTGGCCAAGGTTTGTGAATGGGGTGTGGAAAGTTCATGGGCATGAGGTAATAGCTGCCTCATGAACTATTTTCCACTTAAGCCAGTTGATGCAGGTGCTATCTCTGTAACCCTCCCCCCACCTCCTCTAATCAAGTTCTGTCTTTTGAAGCCACAAGGAGAGCTCCAGAGATTAGAGTAGCATTTATGTGTGTGTGTTTTTTTTTAAGATTTGTTTTTATTGGGCCCGGCGTGATGGTGCAGTGGTTAAGGTCCTTGCCTTGCACGCCTGGGATCCCATATGGGTGCCAGTTCTAATCCCGGCGGCCCTGCTTCCCGTCCAGCTCCCTGGCTGTGGCCCAGGAAGGCAGTCAAGGATGGCCCAAAGCCTTGGGATCCTGCACCCTCATGGGAGACCTGGAAGAGGGCCCTGGCTTCGGATCGGCATTGCATCGGCCGTTGCGCTCACTTGGGGAGTGAATCATTGGACGGAAGATCTTCCTCTCTGTCTCTCCTCTCTGTATATCCACCTTTCCAATAAAAAATAATAAAAAAATAAATCTTTAAAAAGAAAAAGATTTGTTTTTATTTGAGATATTTTTAAAGACTTATTTTATTAGAAAGGCAGATGTACAGAGAGGAGAGACAGAAAGATCTTCCATCCAGTGATTCACTCCCCAGGTGGCCACAACGGCCGATGCTATGCCGATCCGAAGCCAGGAGCCAGGAGCTTCTTCTGGGTATCCCACACAGGTGCAGGGTCGCAAAGCTTTGGGCCGTCCTCAACTGCTTTCCCAGGCCACAAGCAGGGAACTGGATGGGAAGTGGGGCTGCCGGGATTAGAACCAGCACCCATTTGGGATCCTGGTGTGTTCAAGGCGAGGACTATTGCACCGGGCCCAAGATTTGTTTTTATTGAAAGACAGGTACACAGAGAGGAGAGACAGGAAGAACTTCTGTCTGCTGATTCACTCCCCAAGTAGCCACACTGACTGGAACTGAGCCAATCCAAAGTCAGAAGCCAGGAGCTTCTTCTGGGTCTCCCATGCACGTCCAGGGTCCCAAGGCTTTGGGCCATTCTCAACTGCTTTCCCAGGCCACAAGCGGGGAGCTGGGTGGGAAGCAAGGCTGCAGGGATTAGAACCAGTGTCCATATGGGATCCCAGCATGTGCAAGATGAGGATTTAACTCCCCCCCCACCCCCTTGTTAACGTAATTTATTTTACTTAGAAAGGTAGAGAATCTTCCATCTGCTGATTTATTTCCCATTGGTCACAATGGCCAGAATTTGGCTGATCTGAAGCTGGGAGACTGGAGCTTTTGGGTCTCCCATGTGAGTGCAGCAGGCAGAGGCCAATAAGCAGAGAGCTGGATCAAAAAGTGGAGCAATTGGGACACAAACCTTGCTTAATGAAATGGCACTGCTGTCGGCTAAGGATCAGTTGGTTACAGCTCCTCACAGCCCCCTTCGCTGAGCACTGCGTGTGCTTTCTCATTTACTGTCTGTAACAATGTAGTGAGACAAGTAGTACAGTCTGTTTTTTAAAAATGACTCCATTTTAAGGAGGAAGAAATTAAACATCTGAGATCCAATGACTAGAGCTTAAGGTCGCCTAACAAGTGAACAACCAAGGTTAGTCTGCACCTTGGCATTGTGACCTTAGAAAGCTGACCCTGTGGGCCTGGCGTGGTGGCCTAGTGGCTGAAGTCCTTGCGTTGCACACGCCGGAATTCCTCTCTATCTCTTTGTATCTGACTTTGCAATAAAACGAAAATAAATCTTAAAAAAACAAAACAAAAACCAAAAGCTGACCCTTGGACACTGTGCTGCCCAGTGAGAGCTTCCTTCTGGGACCCCAGTAATGTACACCTAGGGCTGTCCTCACCCCCTTGTGTCTGCCCTGGAGCCCTGGTTATCTTTAAAACCCAAAAGGAAAGATTGACAAAGAAAGCTGGCTTTATCATGCAGGCAGTATAAATAAATAAAAACACCTTCTGTAAAGTCTGGGAGTGGAAGGCTGTTAAAGGCCTTTGGCACACTGAGCATGGACAGTTTTAGGATTACAGTCTGTGTGACTCCCTTGGATGGCAGAACTTGGGTATACCTTAGAGACAGGACTAGAATAGGCAAACATTCTTCACCTTTTCTGGGGAACCTGTTCTTGATCTTCAGTCCCTGCAGGTCCTTGTGCTGTCCTGGAATCTGCTGGCTGTGTCCCTGGGGCTATAGCCAAGAGCTGCTGGGTATGCTCAGCCTGTGGTGATGGGGTGACTTTCCACATGGGTCTCTTGTGTTTGGGAACACCAAGGCCCTGCCCAGCCAGGCCTTGCCTGCAGGTGGATGACACCAGGAGTGTGAAAGAGGAGGTGAGGTAACAGCCTGAGCCGTGGAGCCTGGTGTGGGGCTTCCTTGCCTACACTTCCGGCTTGTGTGGCTGGGGGCAGGTTATTTAACTGGTTTCTGCTTCAGTTTCCTCATCTGGGGAAGAAGGAAAAGAATAATACTGCATATGGTGGTTGTAAAGATTACGTGAGCTTCAGTGTGTCTGGCACTTCAGGATGTGGCTGACCTGTGAGCAAGTGCCCAGTAGGGGTTCCATCTGTTAGTGTCTATCTGTAACTGAGTTGTGGGGCGATCACCCTCAGCCAGAGGCGCACAGGCTGGAGAGCACTGCTCAGAGAGCAGGTCTTGCTATTTTAAAAGATTTATTTTTTTGTTTGAAAGGCAGATTTTGCAGAAAGAGGAGAGAAGATCTTCCATTCACTGGTTCACTCCCCAAATGACTGCAACAGCTGGAGCTAAGCTGATGGCAAGCTGGGAGCCAAAGCTGCTTCTGTGTCTCTTCCACAGGTGCAGGGTGGGAAAATGGTCCAGGTCCCAAGCAAGGAACTGGATGGGGAGTGGAGCAGCTGGGACATGAAGCAGCACCCTTATGGGATCCTGGCACCTGGCACGAGGAGGGCTTAAACCCTGAGCTGGAGCTGGCCCAGACTGTTTAAGAGCTTTGAGAAGCATCTGGAGTCTTCCCTTCTGCCACTAGGGCAGCAGAGTTGGGGCTTTGAAATGAGTTAACTCTGGAAGGAATTGAGATGGCTGAGGAGAGGGGATTTTTGTTTTTTAATTGAATATCTGTAATGTGCCAGCCAGTTTTAGGATCTTTACTGGATTGGTATCTAGATTCGGTCCCATTTTGCAGAATGAGGGGCTCAGGCATGGAGAAGTTGGGTAACAGCCCTTGTAGCTGAGTTAAATACAGCTAGAATTAGTTGACCGCCAGTCAGTCTGTGAAGTCTGTGCTGTTTGTCTGGGTTGGCATGCATGCTGGTATGTCTTGTCTGTAGGTTATCTCAGATAGAAGTCGTGGCTTGCTGGGACCTTTTGTTTTGGCCGAGCGGTTTTGCATGTTTACCTAAGCAGCCTCTGGAAACAGTAT